GGGACTCTGCTCCATTGGACCCCCCACCTTTTTTTTTATTATTATTAGAGGCGTCTTTTTTGGCACTTGGTTGAACAACCTCGCGCTAAGTATCAATGTGATTCCGAAGGCGAATCTCACAGGTGTCCCGAGCAGAAAGGCAGGTTGTCGATGGTCAGGCAGTCGGTCCAACTGCACAGATCCCCACTCCGTCCTCCGCGGGGCCGCCAGAGCTGGGCCTGGACCCAAGCCCACGGGCCCACTGTCCGCTCTGGCCAAGGTCAAACGCAGCCAGCGCTCTGGACACCCTCCCCCAAGGCTGGGGGCCTGCAGGAACCAGCCGCCCCTCGGGCCTTGGCTTCACCCTCCGTGAGAACCCAGGACTGCGGCTTGTGTTTACAGACCAAGATCCCACCCCGGCTCCACCCCTCAGGGAGCACCTGTTCTCCTGAGCTTAGGCTCCTCATTGCAAAGTGGGGACAACCCTGCTTCTTAGATTGGGGGTGAAAGTCCATGAGATAACATGTTCGTGCCTGGTAGAGCGAGTTCTACAAACTCCCAAATGGGACCACATTTGCCAATCGAAACAGCGCTTGGGTCACCGTGTGGGTCTTACAAGTGCTGTGAGCTGCCTCGATGACGCATGTGGGCTCACAGGTGCCTGTTACCTTGCCTTGCTCTCTCTTTGTCCCTTTCAAGAGTCTGGTGAGACTCGGGGTCTCTGTAATCGGTGGGAGACCCGCCCATGGTTAGAAGAACTCAAACATAAAGATGTTTTCTCTTTTTGCAGAGAATTGTATTAAGGCCGACTAGCTTCATCTTTCGGGGACGCCACTTACTTATGCAGAGGACCGACCTGGTGGCCGCTACCAGCAGCCCAGCCCCATCAGGATCTCCCGCACCTGCCTCTCTAGCAGCCCCCGTGCTAGTTCCTGAAAGCCTCTGCCCCTCCTGCCAGCAGCGGCTCCGGGAGCAGGGCTCTGAACTGCGGCCTGCCTGAGCCCCCTGGTGGCAGCCACACAGCCACACACCTGTCTGCATCCGGAGTGGCACCGGCATCACAGCCCTGGACGCCAGGCCCTTTGCACCCTCCCCATCTGCACCCTCCCTGTCCAGCAACGAGCTCCTGAAAGGCAGAGCCCCCGCAGGTGACTGGGCTTTCCCGAGTTAGGACAGGTGCACAGACCTGCACGTGCAATTGTGCACGCTGAGCCTCCTCCGCCCTCTAACTCCCTCTCGAGTTCCACTTGAATGCCAGAAGGCACCCCCGAGGCCCTGCAACCTCATGGAAAAGCAGTATCTCAGGAGTCAGGAGAATTTAGCTTTGCATCCTGCCTCAGCTCTAAGGTGACGATTCATTCCTAAGCCATGTATCTTCCAACTCTGGGTCCCTACTTTCTCAGCTGGGAAGTAGGGAGAGTGGTGCTAGCATCTCAGGGTAATTTTAATTTTTTTTTTAAGATTTTATTTATTTATTCACAAGACACACACACACAGAGAGAGAGACACAGGCAGAGGGAGAAGCAGGCTCCATGCAGGGAGCCCGAAGTGGGACTCGATCCTGGGTCTCCAGGATCACACCCTGGGCTGAAGACAGCGCTAAACTGCTGAGCCACCAGGGCTGCCCAATTTTAATTTCTAAGTTGTAGGCACAGATACCTATAAAAATCCATTCCTGTAGCTACACCATAGATTACAGGAATAATCTAACATGTATATATCGCATATAAAGACACATAAATTCCAGAGAGAGAGAGAAGGACACGAGGCATGTGACCCTTGGAAAACACACCATCAATGGTAATGATTACTGATTATCCAGGAGACCCAACATGTTCAAACTTGTTTCTGAAAAAGAAAATAAAACAAAGGTAACAACAAACAAAAAAATTCAGTTATCAGATAAGAAAATTTTCCAGAAATAAAGGACACATGAATCTGCAGACAAAAGGGACATGCCATATTCCCAGTAAAAGCCATAGACAATCCATCGCTGAATTCAAGGAAAAAGAATCCTCCTCAAGCATTCTGACATAATAACAGACCACCAGCCATTCAGGGAGAAGCCCCAGCCTCAAGTTCGCCAACAGGACTGGATTCCACAGAAGAATGGAGTTACACGTATCCCATGGTAATTCAAACACAAATGGTCTACAAGTTTTCTGTCAATTTTGTTAAGTTGTCATTCGCTTGTGGAAGAAAAAAACAAAACATTCTCTTTTCAACACCTGAGGAGCTACACTTTTAAACACTTCATAGGGAATAGGTATTTGAAGACGCTGCCAGAGTCCTCCTGTGTCTGCCCCAACATAAAATTCTCCCCTCTTTCTTAACAATGGGATCCCTAATTTTGGAAGCTGTACAGATTGAAACTTGTACTTTGCACCTTTCCTTCCACCCAGCTGTGGCCATGTTGACCACGTTTTAGCCAAAGGAATAAAAGAGGTGCTATGTGGTGCTCCTGGGGGAGGGCTGTTTCCTCCCCTCCTGCAGCCTGTGGTCTTGACGACTTCATTGAGCCACAGTGGCCTGACCACTTCCAGACTTCTTTGGGGAGAGACAAATAACTCCTATCTTGGTTGAGCCTCTGTCATTTCTGATTTCAAACGCCTGCCACAAATCTAATCCTAAACGACACCAATAGACACTAAAGCCAAATATTAGATTAATTCCCAAATTAAGGAAATCGCTTGTGAAAGAAATCGCAATGAACATTAAATTCAATTAAACATAGAATAAGTCAAAAGAGTTGGGGAAAACAGAGTTAACATGTCACTGCGTGCCATTATAATTCTTGAAATAAAAGATAAATAATTTGCTGATTGTGGATTGGGATAAAATCCAGACGGTGTCAGCAAATGGATGTAGCAAATAAATGAATGAGGGTTAGAAATGAGAGGAGGATAAGCAAAATGTGCTGATTTGTTCCTATGTCATGGGAGAAATCAATACATTCCGTTTCACTTATGAAATTGATGAATGGAGAAATACGAGTTTAAGAGTATTACTTAATATGTCTGTGTCAGTTAGAATTAGGTTTGGCTGAGAGAAAAGGAAAACCAAAATCACAGTGCCTTAACAAATTTAGAGGTTTTTCTTTCAAATAAAATAAAGCTAGAGATAGGCAGTCCAGGGCTCATATGGTTACTTCGACTGGAATGAGAAATATAGATGTACTCTGACTTTCCACTCTTCCATCTTTGATGCGTGGTATCTATTTCAAGATTGCCTCATGTTACTAAGATGGGCACTGATGCTCCAGCCATCATATCTTCTTCCAGACAGAAAAAGGGGACTGAAAGGGCAAGAAATTTTCATCTTAGTTGTCTTATATCCCCTTGTCCATACATAAGTTAAGGGGAAGATGGAAAATATAGTCTTTAAGCTAAGTGTATTTTCATCCCTCAATAGAAAGAGGATTCTGTTCATAAGGAAGATGATGAAGGTGGACACTGAGTAGGCAGCTGGCCATCTCTGCCTTAGAAGTAAGTATGTCAACTCATGTAATAACTGTATAATCGCCAACTTCACAAAAGAGAAAAACAAAAACTCAGACAACTCTTTAGCAAAGTGCTAATAAACAATATTTCTAGTTGTTATGCACAATGTCAAGAAAAAAATAGGACGTTGGATGTTACAGGTTGAATAATGTCCCACAACAATTCATATGTTGAAGGCACCTCAAGCACAATTTTATTTGGAAACAAGGTCATTATAGATGTCATTAGTGACAACGAGGCCATATCAGAATAGTGTGGCCCCCTAATCTGTCTCATCAAAATGGGAAGTTTGGACACAGACATACATACAAGACACCATGGGAAGATGAAGGCAGAGGTGCGGTGATGCTTCTACAAGCCTAGGAATGCCAAAGATGGCCAGAAAACCATCAAAAACTAGGGAAGAAGCATAGAAACCACTCTTCCTTACAGCCCTCAGAAGGAACCAATCTAGGGGACACCTTGATATTGGACTTTGGGCCTCCAGGACCTACGGAAATATATTTCTATGGTGTAAGCTACCCAGCTTGTGGCATTTTGTTATAGCAAACTCATATACTGGGAGTAACTGTTTTTCTTTTACAAGGTTCTACATGGTTTGACTATTTTTAAAAAATTTTATCATTCATTTATCTATCTGTCTATTATCTATTATCTATCTATCTATCTATCTATCATCTGACAGAGAGATCTATCTATCTATCTATCATCTATCATCTGACAGAGAGTTAGAGCCATAGAACACAAGTAGGGGGAATGGCAGAGGGAGAAGGACAAGCAGACTCCCCACTGAGCAGGGAGCCCAATGTGGGGCTTGATCCCAGGACCCCAGGATCATGTCCTGAGCCGAAAGCAGACACTCAACCCTTGAGCCACCCTGGAGCCCCAAGACTATATCCTTTATAAGCAAAATAAACCATATATGTTTTCTAAATAAGATGAAGGAAGCAATTTCTAGCTTTTTATTTTCCTGTAAGCTCACACTTCATAGAATTGACTGACCTAAAAAATTTTAGTGTTTTAAATTTATTTGTTTTCCTAGAGAGAAAGAGTGGTCCAGGGTGTGGGAGAGGGAGAGAGAGAGAGAGAATCATAAGCAGACTCCACACTCAGTGTAGAGCCCATCATGGGGCTCGATCTCATGACCCTAAGATCAAGGCCTGAGCCAAAATCAAGAGTTGGATGCTTAACTGACTGAGCCACCCAGGCGCCCCATCCTAAATATTTTAAACAAAATTTAACATTAAAATGATCTGGTCCTGAGACTTTTTAGAGAGGCATTTTGTTTTAGTACCTTTTACAGTTTTGTCCCAGGGCTCTAGGTCAATTGCTGGTTTTACATTTTAGCAAATGATCACTTATTATATTTGCTTATGGAAGAAAAATTTAATTAAAAGATGAAGGTGGTGATGACAACCTAATTTTTTGTTCTTCTCAAATTCACACATAAAAACTGACAGAACAATTAGCTATCAAAGCCAAAGCCCATGATCAATGTTTACAATGAAACAGGATGATAAGGTGCTCGCTTCGTCAGCACATATACTAAAATTAGAAGGATACAGAGAAGATTAGCATGGTCCCTGTGCAAGGATGACATGAAACTGGATAATAAGGCCCCTCTACCAACTCTAGAAGACATCGGGGTGGGGGAGATGATCTGTAGCCATGAAACATGCATGTTATCAGCATGTGTATGGGAGAGGAGAGCAGTAAAGCAAAGCCCTCAGAATAGGAGCACATCCCCCCCACCCCAGTCAACAGGTACTCATGGGGGATCAGGGGGTTCCAGATGGAAAGCAGCAGATGGAAGTAGGGAGGGTCCTGCATGGCTGTGATGAGCCCACGGTGAAGAGTAAAAGTCTGGACTAGTGTAACTCCAGGGTCCTCCTGAAACTGAGGCTGCCTCCACCCCGGGGAGAAACAGCTGAACATGGAACCAGGACTGAGGGGGACACAGAAAACACAGATTAAGGAAAGAGGCAAAGGGGAGAGAAAGAGCCAGGAAATCTCAGCAGGCACACTGCCATATTTTTTAAGCATGACAAGGTAGGTTGACAGAAAGAAAAGAAAAACAGGAGAAAGACCTCTTCAAAGTTACACAAGCTTTCTGAACGAAGCTCTTTCCTCAAAGAAAAAGGAATTTCACACACACACACATACACACACAATAGAAAAGTAACAGAAATCTATCAAAAATGGCAAAAAAAAGTGACATTGAGGAAAAAGAGAATAAGGAACAGAAAAATACACCTTTACAGTGAAAATACACCAGAAGTCACACTAAAAATAAATAAAATTGTGAAATACTAGTTGAAAGCCATTAAAAAATTAATACAAAGATATAAGACATGAAAGAAACAATATGAATCAGAAGTAGAAACACTCATAAATGAGATGATGCCAGAACTTGAGAAAACTAGAGGAAAAAGGCATTTTTAGAAATGAAGATAAAACAAGCAAGAACACAAGAAAAAACAAGCACAACAAGCGACACCTTCAGAGGAATAGGCCAGCAAAAGGCTTTGATTTTAACACAAAATGAAAAAAGATTAAAAAAAATGTTTCAAGAAAAGGTGGAAAGCACTGAAGACAGGTAGTAAAGATACAGTGTGTGTTTAAAAGTGGTGCCTAAAGAAGACAAAGAAAGGGAACATAACACAAAGTACTGTTCAAAGGCACTTTTCTGAAATAAAAAATATTTGAAACTATGTATTGAAAGAGTACAGAGTGCCTGTAAATTCCAACCCAGTATGATCAACACCAAGACATTTACTATGGAAAGTACTTTATTTAATAAAAAAGGAGAAAATCCACTGGATGTCGAGGCAAAGAGGGTGCTTAACACATGAGGAAAATAAAATTAAATTATCATCAGATTTTTCCACACCAATTCTTTAGCTTGAGGAGAGGAATAAAATAGTTAAGATTGCCAGGAAAGAAAATGAGAGTCCTAAATTTTATACCCAGCAAAGTACAACATCCACTTGGATAATTCAGGGATTGTTACTCCCATGAAAACTTCCTAAAGAATCTACTAGAAAACAAGTTCCAGACAGAAAAAGAGAAGGACTCGAACGATGTGGACATAAACTCCGGTGGTTAGATAAATATACAGTTACTTGAAGGAACAAGATTAAATGAGAACCAAAAAAGGAGAAACAACCGTGATCTGACTAAACAGACACAAGACAAGTGTGTGAAAAATGGACAGTTATGGATAGTTTAACTTAAAGATCTTTATTTTCAGGAAGTCATAATTCATGGCACTTGTGTCAGTATCCATATTCTGAGATCTATCTGGAAAGTGAGAAAAAGCAAGTGATATGCAGCATTCTCATATTTTTCCTAAATCAGATGTTGGCAAACTATGGTGCATGGACCACTTGTCTCTTCTTACAAATAAAGTTTTATAGGAACACAGCTCTGCCCTTTCATTTACATTTTGTCTGGGGCTGCTTTCCCACAACAGAGCTGAGTAGTTGTAACAGAGACGGTATGGGCCGCTCGCTTAAAATATTTACAATCTGGCCCTTAAAAGTAAAGTTTTCTGATATCTGCCCCATATCTTTGAAAACCAACACTCTCCGTGCAGAAGAAAGGAGATGCGGTGGGAGGGGGTTGGTGGGTAGTGAGTGGTCAAACACAAACACCGTTGTCCCGAATTTGAATTGTAAGTTGTCTGCAGAAACTTCTGAGGTGCTGTAGCTTTTCATTTAGTTCCATCTCTGTCCTTAAAAAGGCCTAAAACCTGGGCAGCCCCAGTGGCTCAGCGATTTAGTGCTGCCTTCAGCCAGGGTGTGATCCTGGAGACCTGGGATCAAGTCCCACGTCGGGCTCACTGCATGGAGCCTGCTTCTCCCTCTGCCTGTGTCTCTGCATCTCTCTCTCTCTCTCTCTCTCTCTCTCTCTCTCTCTCTCTGTATCTCTCATGAATAAATAAATAAAAGCTTTAAAAGATAAAATAAAAAGGCCTAAAACCAACGATCCTACCCACAGCCAGGAGCAATCCTAGTACCCAGATCATGGCCTTAAAATGCCCATTTCCCAGTTCAAACTAAACAAAACCCAACATAGTCTTAAAACAGCTGGCTGATTCCACTTCTGGGGCAGGACATGTTCCAGATGAGCCTAGTGTGTCCGTTAGTAGGCAGAAAGCAAGGAAGCTAGCAGACACAACCAGGATCCTGTCTAGGGTGCTCAGGGTGCTCAGAACACACCCGGGAGAGGCTCCCATTGGCCAAAGGATGGATAGTCTGTTCCCACATACGTCACGACCGCCTTGGGTGAAAACCTCCTGAATACATATAGAAACATGAGTCTATGGTACTATTGAAAAATGATAATAATTTATCACCTGTGGGTGACAAGAAGCCAATTCATCATTGTGAAACTAGATAAGCAATGGGAAAGAGTCGAGTATTTATTTCCTTCTCCACACTAAATTGTAATTCATGACGATACACCACTTAGTACCCACCTGGTCAGTGAGCGGAAACATTTCCTTAGAAGTACATCCAGCTAGGAAACAAGACCAAGTGACAGACTTACACCAGCACCTGCAGCCTTCAGTGAATTATGGGTCCAGGCCCTGAGCTGACATCCAAAGAGCGCGGGAACACACATGATGTGCTTCCTAAGAAACGGATGTCAGACCTACCCCTACAGTCCAGCCAAGGGCTTGGCACGGGAGTCAGATCAAACCTCTGGACTCTACCACCTACCTGCACAAAATACAGGTCACAGATGCACGCAAGTTTTGCTCTGAGTGTAAAAGCAGTGAGATCCAAGCTGTGGGGACATCTACCAGCCCAATGAGGCAAGTCCCTCAACAGTGGAGTCACAAGGAAAGGGAGGGCATGATGGAGAACCAACAGGTTACGAGACACCTAAAAACCATCTCTTTTTCTTTTTTTTTTAAGATTATAGTTATATAATGAATAAATAAATAAAATATTAAAAAAAATCCCACCAGGGTAGCAGCACTGGGATGGGTCAGTAGGTGAGGCATCTGACTCTGGCCCTTGGCTCAGGTCATGATTGCAGGGTCATGAGACCGAGCCCCAAGCTAGGCTCAGGGCTCTTCGGGGAGTCTGCTTTGCTCCCCCTCTCTCTGCCTCTCTCTCTGCTAGCCTTCTCTCTCTCTCTCTCTCTCTCTCTCTCTCTCTCTCTCTAAAATAAATATATAAATCATTTGAAAAAATAAAATAAAACCATACCAGGGTACAAGATCCAATCAAAGGAAAGAACGGCCAATGGGCTTTAATGTCACAGACCAGGAAACGTTCATCGATGCGCAGTCTCTACATTGCAACTGACCTTTGAACAACTAGCAGTGGCTCAGCTCGGGTGTAGTTACCGGAGGGCAGCCACAAGTATTCGGCAAGGCCACTAAAATACCCTCCATCTTCGAGTCATCTGGCTGTATGAGAACAATTTTCTTCATATCCTTCAATTGAAACATGTCAAAGAGTCAGTGGAGGAGCAATAATGTGGATCCAGCTGCCTTCTCTTATGCTAGACCTTGGAGACACTTGCAAAAATGTAAAACATTGTCGCTCTTCTCACCCAAGCGTTTGTTGCTTTAGAAAATACACTTTTTTATGAAAATGTATTATTTATATTAGCAAGTAATGGGTTTATCACTTGTGATTATCAAATGAACTCAAAATAAATACTCTAAGATAGTGTTTTAATTTAAAATGTGGAGGCACAGGCAGCCCGGGGGTGGGGGAGCTTAGGGATTTAGCGCCACCTTCGGCCCAGGGTGGGATCCTGGAGACCTGAGATCGAGTTCCACGTCAGGCTCCCTGATGGGAGCCTGCTTCTCCCTCTGCCTGTGTCTCTCATGAATAAATAAGTAAAATCTTTAAAAAGAATTATAAAATATGGAGGTGCATGAGTGGCTCTGTAGGTCGGGCATCTGACTCTTGATTTCAGCTCGGGAAACTCTTGATTTCAGTTCCAGGGTCCTGGGATCCAGCCCTGCACCAGGCTCTGCACTCAGCACGGTGTCTGCTTGGGGATTCTCTCTCCCTCTCCCTCTGCCCCTCCACCCCACTGGTGCGCACTCTCTCTCCCTCTCTCTCAAATAAACAAGTCTTCAAAAAATAAAACATAAAATGTGGAAAATATAATCATGCCTGAGAGGAGGGTTGAGGAGTCCTGAGATTAAAAAATCTGAGAAACTCTTCACCACGGACACACACGCACAGTAACAACTAAAAGTAAAATGAAAAAATAAAAGCTCTTGAGAGGCCTGTGTAATTTCTGGATGTCCAGATAAAGGATTGGTTCCCTGGAAACAAAGATATCAGTGACCTGACTCTGTGGCCTGGGAGTTTTTATGGGCAGTTTTTACAAATGTTCTGCTAAGTGGAAGCCAGGAGAGTTGCGCATCATCGATTAGCATTACACACTAGGCCCCTGACATCCCAAAAGTATATACATCCTACTACAATTTCCCACAAAGAAACATTTTTTTATCACTTTATCACATGCCAGACAGAACAGGAGCAGTGTTGAGCTGAGAGATAGTTGGCTCTGCTCCTTCACGAGTTGGAGACTTGATGAGTGTCAATCACATGCTGTGCTTTTGCCTGGAATTTGAATCTAAGAAAAAAATCAT